CCTCAAGGGCTTGGAAGGCAGCCTCACAGACTGTGCCCTTCTCTGGAAGGGCTGCCTTTGCTCATGACATTGGGCAGGTGACATCGGCCCAAGCCTCCTGCCTCCATAGGCGCTGTGGTGTCTGGGGCACAGTGGGGATGTGCAGGAAGTAGCTGTGGTGCCTGGGCTCCGTGCGGCGGCAGGAGCCTCCTCTTGTCTGACAACTGGGTCTGCTGGAGCAGCCGGGGTGCTGGTGGGACCTTCTGTACGCTGATCTGTGGTTCCTGAATTGGTTGCTGCAGAGATCTGCATCTCACCGACGGGCAGGCCAGGCCAGGCAGGGTGCTGGGAGTGAGGATGTCCTTGGGCAGGATGGGCAGAGTGCTGCCTTGCCTCTGGGCAGGTGAAAAAGGGGCCAGTTTTGGGTGGGTTGCTTGGCTGTGGGCTGCAATGCTTGTGCCTGGCATGCTGGTTCAGGCGCTGAGCACCCCGGTGTCTTGTGGGGTGCCCCTGGGTGCTCGTACCCGCTGTAGCCGTGATGGCATGGGAGATGGTGTGTGCTGCTCGCTCCTCGTTCCTGGAGGTCCAGCGGGGTGGGATCGGTCACCCAGGCTGCCTTTCCTCTGGGAGGAAGAGATGACCTCCTCCTCTTCCTCCTCGTTCTCAGTGTTCTCCTGACCTCAGTGAAGCACCTCTGGCAGATGCTGGTCTGCCTGGAGCTGGCCACCCACCGCGGATGTTGACTTGTCACCAAAAATAGACCTTTTGTCATCAGGCAGCAGAACGTGCTCGCTGCCCGCTGTGTCCCGTGGTGTCCCTGGCTGAGCACCGACGGGCTCTGGCAGACAGCCGCCTCGAGCCCGGCTCTCGGCCGCCGGCTCCTGGGGGGTTTGGTGCCCCCGGCACGGTGGCAGGAAGGGGCTGATGACCAGCAGGTGCCAGTGCGGCATTTGCTGTGCTGGTGGACTCGTGGCCAAAGGAGGGTCTTGCTAGGAGAGAGGATGGGGATACCAGGGCTGGAGAGCAGTAGCCGTGTGTTGGGTCTTGGCCAGGAGTGGGGCCGGGGGGAGCCCTGTGGCCTGGAGCATGTGGGCTGCCTCGGGGTCATGCCGGGCCTTGGGGCAGCCACCATCACCAGCATCCCCAGGGCTCCCTGCTGGCTCCCGGCTCTCCGGCGTTCACACAAGGATGCTCTCCGAGTGCTGCCGAACCCCTGCCAGCAATGTTTTATGTGTTTTAATGGACAAGATTAATATTAATTTGTACTTTTTTTTCTTTTTCCTTTTTATTTAATATTTAGCAGCCCACTGCTCGGGCATGCCCAAAGGGAGGCTCGCCGAGGCCCGCCGAACCCCTGCCAGCAATGTTTTATGTGTTTTAATGGACAAGATTAATATTAATTTGTACTTTTTTTTCTTTTTCCTTTTTATTTAATATTTAGCAGCCCAGAGGACTTCTCCCTCCTTCTCCTGCCTCTGGCAGGAACAAAAATAACTCCTCAGCAATGGGTTTGTGCTCGGCTCCAGCCAAGCGCTTCTGCTCACTAGCTGTAGGAACGTGCTAGGGCCTTTTGCCTGCAGTCCACATGTTCGTGTGCTCAGCGACCAGCCTGTGCCCGAGCGTTGGATGGATGAGGCCAAAACGCTCTCCGAATGCAGGAACGGGTTTTGCTTCCATCGGCAAAGCTGCTGAATAGGTTAACTAATAATTTCCAAAACTTCTCTGTCGGGGCACTTGGGGGAGCAGAGGCTTTGATCAGCACCTGCCCACCCTGAAAGGACAAATTTGTTAGGGAAAGGCTGGTTTTGACTGGAGTATTTCCTTCCTTCCCTTGAGATGGGCTTTGCCAGGCAGGGGAGGAGGCAAATCTGCCTTGCCGCTGCCCTTGAGAAAGCGCCTGGGGGGCTGCACGCTATGAAAAAGAAAGTTAAAAGGAGAAGGGAGGAAGCAAAAGCGCCTGGCCCGAGTGGTGCTGCCCCGCTCCAGCAGCTCGGCTCCTTCCGTCAGTTGCTCTGGGAGTGAACTGCCTTTGCTTAGGACATAAATGGAGATTGTGTGTTTAAAGGAATTTTATCTAGATTTCCCTTATCTCCTTGCTTCATCTGGGCCTTTCCCCATGGATGCCTTTTACTGCTGCCACTTGCTGTCTGGGGTGGATCTCCTTCCCCTTCCCTGCCCCAAAGCAGCGATGCCTGGCACAGCGTTGCCTGCAGCTCCCTCTTGCAGCGCAGGAGGGCAAGAGCGAGCCGTCAGGCACGCCGGTCCCCAGCCTGGTGGCTGCTGCTGCTTCTGACAATCTGTTTTCTTCCTTCCTATTTACGTTTGCTTGTGTTTCCTCTGTGAAACATTAAAGGGTGTTTAAGGGAAAGGGAGGGCAAGGAGTGCAGTGTGGGGTGGTTATGCTGCAGGAGGAGATGTTGCTGAGCTTTAGCCCAGGAAAAATTAGGGATGAGATTGGGGAGCGCAGAGCGGAGATCCTCTTGGGGGGCACATGGGGATGGGAAGTGGTAACACGCTGGCCTTGCGTGCACCCTCTCTCTGCCTCCCATCATCCCTGCGAGAGCTTTGTGATGCCAACGCCTGCAGGGTGTCCATCTGTCTTGCTGCCGCTGTCGGGCATCCTGGCAGGTCCTGGTGAGTTTTGCTGCTTTGTGTGGCAGGAGTTTGGAGACTCTGGTTCTCCAGCCCTTGCCAGAAGAGGTTGGCAGAAGGTGGCCAGACTCGTGCATCTGCCACTCGTGGTTGCTGGCTGCCTCATCGTCTCGTTATCCAGCAGGCTTGAGAGCAGGTGGCAGGGAAGCACGAACACTCAGATGGTGCCCCCTGTACCCCCTATTCTTCCTGGGCTCCTTTTTTAAGCCAGTGTGCCCTGGAGGAAGAAGCCTTGTCTCTGCCTGCTGGCTCCTTCTTCGAGCATCTCTTTGAGGGCGGAAAGGACAGCAGCTCTGCTGGGGACAAAGGCTGGAATTAAAGGAGGGGGCTGGGCTCCGATCAGCAGTAGGAAGGCACGTTGTGCCCTTAGGTGGTAGTGGGGGGGAGTTGCTGGGCTCTCCTGCCCCCTGCCATGTTCCTGCCTAGAGCCATGGGTAAACATGAACCCGAGTGGTGGGATTTTGTTAAAAACCAGAAATGAAAGCCACGGCCTGGGTCAGCTTTGGTGTGGAGATGGCCGGAGTCCCGTGGGCAATCACTGTGCCGGGAGCAGAGCCTCAAGCACCCCCCTTGCTGGGAGCCCTGCAGCCTCCTGTCTTAATGGGAGGCATCCCCAAATCTGGAAAGAGAGCATGTTTTATGTTTTGCGTGTTGTTGGGGTCCAGGATGGAAGGGGATGTGTTTCTCTTCGTGTTGCTGCAAACAGCTTGGTGACTGCATGCAAGTCTTACATGCCTCAGTTTCCCCACCCCTACAACTGCACTGGACTGAGTGTGCCTGCTTAGGAGGGACCCAGCAGCCTCTGGATTTCTCTCTGGCTTAGTGCCGGTGGCCCGTGCTGGTGGGTCGCGTGTCCAGGCAGCTGCTGGGGGCAGGTGCCCCTGCAGGGCGACCTCCTTGGGGGTGGGATGGAGGCAAGCTGGGCAGGTTGTGGTCACATCTCTTTTTAGTTGCCCCCCCCAGAGTCACAGGGATGTCCTGCAGATGGGGACGGTGGTGAGTATGTCTCAACAGTTGGGTCTCTGATGGGGGAGTCAGGACTTTCTGCATCACTTTCTGCAGTGGCTGTCACCCGGGGTGGGTGTGGGTGACCAGCCCGGTGGGGTTTAGTTCTCTGCTGCAAGTCCCTCTGCCCTCCGTGGAGGGGAGCAGTACCTTCCCCACTGGGCTGTGAGCTTAGGCTGGGAGGAGCATGGACAGTTTGGGCCTGGATCAGTCCCGCTTAGGAGCGGGCACCTGGTTTGGCGTGCCCGATCATGCTGCGCCATTGCATTTACCCTGGTTCATGGTGGTCTCACCCCTCCATGCTCAGCAAGTTGAGGTTTTGGCCGGTCTTAAGCCTCTCTCTTCTTCTGATGCCATCTGTCTGTCCCCCTTGATCAGGTGTCTCCGGAGAAGTGCCGCTTCGCCATAGGCCGAATCCTGAGCGAGGGAGATGCACAGCCGTCAGAAGAGCAGATCAAGCGGTTCCAGAAGTATGGCTTCAAGATCTTCTCCTTCCCTGCTCCCAGCCACGTGGTCATGGCGACCTTCCCGTTCACTACGCCGATGTCCATCCATCTAGCAGTCAACCGTGTCCACCCAGCCCTTGACACCTACATCAAGGTAAGCAAGTGTGGCATGAAGAGCATCACACGTGTTCGGTGGGCTGTCAGAGGCTTCTCTTGCTGACAGCTGATGGGGCTGCTCTGACGTGTCATCTCTTGATGTCTTCCCTTGGGCACTACCATCAAGATCTCCTCCTTTTGCAATCTGGCAGGCAGTTCCCCAGCTGGGATGTCCTCCCATTCGCTCCCTAGGCACAGGGGTGCCTTTTCTGCTGTTTTGTGTTTACGAGAAGCAGGTTCTCATCTGACGACTTGCTGCTCTTCTCCTTAACGCGGAGATAAAAGCTGGTTTTCCCCTTGAGTGTCTTGCTTGTTGTTAGGATCTGGCAGGTATGTGCCCCTTCAGCGTAACGCATCGAGCCATGAAACTTCTGTTTCAAGTGCCACCCTCACCGGTGGGGCAGCTGTCTTCTGCAGGGGCAGGAGGAGAAGTTAGAAACTTTTCTGACCCGTGGGCTTATGAAGGCTTGGTTTCAAGGAATACATTGAAATTTGTGGCCCTTGGCCCTGGCTGGGCAGCCGGCTGTGGGCTGTGTTCGCCCTTGCCCCCGAGCAGAGCAGGTGGCCATCCCTGCTGCTTCTGGTCTTTTAGAAGCCCGCACTGCTGCCTTGCTCTGGCTGCCAGACCAGCTGCGGCAAGGGTGTTCCCAAGCAGCACATCTGACACAGATACCTCCAGATCCAGGCTTTCTAGAGAGCGAGGATGGTCCTGGCCAGCTGGGTGATGGAGGGGAGGGACCGTCCTTCCTGGTGGGGGAGGATGCTGGGGAGGGGCCGGCACTCAGCCCCTGGCTTATCTGACTGTCAAGTTCTGCCGCTTTCGTTTGTTCGTGTTGAAACGCACTATTTATAAACTTGCTTTTCCTGGCGAAACTCCCAGCCCTGTGGGGGAACCGTGCGAATCCCTCCAGCCTGCGCTGTGCCGCAGGATGGGTGCCAACCCCAAAACTTCAGCCGGGGGCTCTTTGCAGACCCTCTTGTCCACCCCGGCCTTGGGGAGCTGCCTGCTGGTACCAGCAGAAGATGCGTTAACGCCGGCAGTGGGTGAGCCCGCCACTGCTCGTGCCCCCCTTCCTGTGCTGGAGAGCTGGTGGAGAGCAGAACCAGTTCCCCGTTCTCCTCTTCTCACTCCATCCTCTCTGTGTCTCTTCCTGGAGCTCTGCCGGCTGTTTTGGTGCAGGGGGTATCGGGCACTGCTGCCAGCCTTGCGGTGGACGCGTGGGCATGCAGGGAGGGGGTTGGCGCGGGTGGGAGCATCAGGTTGGCTGTGGGAGCGCTTGGCGACGTGGGGCTGACGCTCCTTACTTGGGGAAAGGTCCCGGCGAGCGCATCTGTCACGTGAGAGATGGAGTTGGTAGAGCTAAAAAGAGAACCACGGGTT